ATCCTCCAGCCGGATGAGAGGGAGTGGGTCTATACTCGTGGCTTCCTATGTACCAGTCTCCTTTGAGATTGGCGGGATACTCTTTCCCCTTTCGAGCAAGTGAATTATCRCCATAMGTTGGCTGGTTMTTGAATGCTGTRCCTGTCAGGGTCCATCCYTCAAGTCGTCCAGTTTCAAAATCGAACAAAATGCACTCTGAAATTAAATATCAAAATGATCGAAAAATGAGCAAATCATAATTGACTGTTTATAAAATTCCAGGCTGACAGACGGAAAGAAACTAGAATCTGAATTGATGGAAACTAGCGGTAAACTAGTGTGAGCTGCGTCGGTACGTGTTTCTAAAGAAACAGTTGTGTAAAAAGATAAATTGAAGACCGTAAAGTAGGTGAAACAACTTACTGACATTTCGGACGTTAATCCTTTTTATCCCTTTACTCTGACGAAAAGATTGACGTTCGGAACGAAAGTAAGTTGTTCCACCTACTTTTTTTACGGGTGTAAAATTTATCTTTTTGCACAACTGTTTCGAATCTAAATTGATTGTTTATTGTTCTATTGTTTTCTGTCATAGTAACGAGTCTACTCCCGCATGTACTGTTTAAGTCCTGGAAATATATTAAGAGCAGAAGTACATAACCAGAAGTGTCCATCTCGCTCATGAAAGAATGATCTATAGCGAATTATTTCTTCAGTATCAGCTAAAAAACTTAGTTACTCGACGAAAAAATATATAACTTTTTTTCAACCTTACCACAATTCCTTCCAGTGTGACTAACACAAGTACAGGTGTAGTATGATCCTTCATCACTTGGAATGCATTTTCCGCCATTTTTACATGGGTTTGGTGAACATGCGTCCTACAGCAAGAGAACGAGTTATCTTTATATAATTAAAAACCTCATGCATAATTAATGAGTTATTATTAGCTAATTAATGAGTTATTAGTTAATTAATGAGTTATTAGCTGAAAATCATTGCCGTGACCGCATCTTTATACAGCTATTTCAAAAAAGGTTGTCAGGTTTGAACGGCGAACGGTGATTGTCGAAGGGAGATTGCACGACCGAAAGGGAATATGGTTGCACTGTTTTGCACATAATTTCTGCGAAAATTTTAATATTTCCTTGCCACTAGTACGCGCGTATATGCGTAGAGGACGCTACAAGCCCGCATTATATCACGATTGATGACGTTTAATTTGTAACCTACCATGAGATGAAAATGATCAAAGCCATTACTTTCCTTCAAAAAATCACTTCTTTCATTTCCACCAACTAAGAGAAGCTCACATTCTCGACCATGACTAGCTGTAGTTTGTTTTTCCAAGTTAAATGACCGACAAAACGTTTTCCCTAACTTTAGGCACCACAAGCCACACTCGAAATGACTTGTTACATCTTTCCGMACTACAGCGACGGCGGGCTGCCATGACGTCATAAGCCTTTTATTTGGAGTTGTCTGAAAGTACCGACCTTCATCTGCGTTCAAGGCTCCATAAAACATGAACAGAAAGCACGAACAAAGCGCAAGCTTCAAGATTCTACACGCCATTATAACTAGTCCTCTCGCGCTATATGAACGACATCTGGAACTTCGCGTTGAGCTGGTAGTCAAATGCCTGGATCGTTTTCAAATATTAAAATATGCTCTTCATTAAGGAAGTCGCAAACATGATTGAAAGTTTGACAAAAGATGAGATGAGTGAATTTTTTTAAGCAGATTAATCATCATTACCAGCTAAAAACACACACATACAAAAACAACAATCAAGCAAACTGTTTCGCGCATAAGGACAGTATATTGATTCCCGTTTGCGCAACTTTTAGGCTGACTGACAATTATCGAGAGTCGAGATTAAAGATCAATAGTCGCAATAACCCACCCTCTAGCTCGATATTTTGGATGATTCAATACTCACAAACAAGTTGAATACGAGGAAAAACTGACAATTCTTTTGTACGTTTTCCAGAGCTTCGTTGTCTGTTCATTTGTCCGTAACTTTTCAAGCGGAATATCGATTTTTTGCCAAATTTTTCTCGCAACAAGAAGTTATGCTGAATAACATGGTATGTATCAGTAAAATTGAAATCACAGTACCCTATTTCCCGGGATATACCGAGGAAATTCACTTTTCAACAACGTTTAAGTCCTCGCATTTCAAGGCCATTATAGAGGACAAAAGTCGGCTAAACTGATCATTTCCTGTGATTTAGTTATTGTTGATAAAGAACAAAGAGCACCAGCTAACGGACATGATCATGTCAACATCAACTCTTTGTATAAATATATCACACTAATTTTAAATCGTATTGAATCATTTCATGAGATTCAAAAGATAAAAACTGGCAGCCATGTTGGAGGAATGATCAATGGTTACTAATGAGAAATCCTCTTGAAGTTCCTCCAAGATGGCCGCTGTGACGTAACTTGAAAACCAAGAATGGGAAAGAAACAGCTCTCCGCATCAGACTCGAACCCAGTCGTTACTCTTCTTTTTTCTCTGACGCGCGCAACGGATTAAGGGAAGTCCAAAGTTCGGACTTCCCTTGATGCAACGCGACCCGTAAAACGAGCAATAGAAACGACTGGGTACGAGTCTATCTCCGCATTAGACTCGATCTTCAGGCAGAATTCAAGTGAAAACTTGAGACTGAGTGAATTTGCGGTGTTTAAACGTCTTTGTATTCGCACTATTAAAATGATGGAAGTATATTCACAAGAATATGTTTTCATAAATTAAGATAATTGTAACTGTATGATAATTACAGTTAGCCTATGGCTTGAATCAAATTACTGAAGAATAGATTTATTCGTTTTTATTCATTTACCGTGCATTCAAGTCTATACTATTTTAACCAAAGTTAATAGAGGGGAATGGTTTGGAAACCTTTTYTTGTACTTCTTTTGTACAATCTTTTTCGTATTTTGAGGTTGAAATAGTCATGACCGTGCAAAACAACCTTTTTTCTTGATGGAAATTGCCAAATCGATGCAACATGACTAACACCATCCACTATGACATGCATTATGAAATGAAATATTTCCATATTGGTTAAAATATTTTGTTCATTTTGAAGAAATAGTCAACAAAAGAATAATTTTCGCTCTTTTCATTCTGATGTGACCATTCTGGCTAAAAAAATAGTTAAACAAAAGATTGTGCACGGTCACGCTTGGAAAAAAATGCACAAAAACCTAACAACAAAAGCCTTCCTAACCATTTTCCTCTACAAACTATGATTTTAGCAATTATGGATTCCGAATCATTATCAAAAACAATCGACAGCATCAGCACTGGTAATGAATAATAATCTTATTTTTTGTTCTATATGTGATAGTGGGCTGAAAAAAAATATTTCAAAATAAAAAAAAGTCCTTATCCGCCCTTTTGTTCATTTTCAATATAAAAACCCCACCCACCCCTCCCTAACAAAATATAAACTTACAWTGRCCCCCCTTTTTCCTTCAAATTCATGTTTTTCAGCCCACTATCCCAATTTTCTAGAATTTTCATAATTTCTAAGTGTTCTATTTCCGGGGGTCACTTTTCTGTATATGGGGGTGGGGGTGCAATTGTTGCTTCAACCTCTGTATACGAAGGCAAATATGGGAATTTCATTGTCTGATATGGAGGTGGAGGTGGAGGTGGGGCCTGGGGAGGTCTTTGTACATGTACGACCGGTACCGGGGGGTGCACTGTTCGTGCRAAGTTCAATGGAAGTCGTTCTCTTGATTGTTCTGTTTGAGTAATATGTATTGCAGATCTTTCTCTGTATCGATCACGTGATCTCCGCCGTCGTTCCGAAGAGTACGGACTGTGTTGTCTTTGACTCCGACATAAACCTGACGCGCCCTGAAATAATAACATTATAAATGATAATTAGAAGATTCATGTTCATCCAGCATTCATTGCGGCATGTTTCAGATTTTTCATGGAAAATATCCATTTCCATCCGTCAAGAATCTTAAGGTTCGTGCTACATTTTAACTACAAAATCCAAGGAATTTTTAATTACTTTTTAAGCACAAAAATGCGATTTTTAAGGACTATTTTTAAATATATTTTTTGATGTTTGCAAGCGATMTCAGTGGCCATTTTCAATTATAGCCACATTTCAATCCAAAAGTTAAAAAGCAACATGTCAGTTTCATCAGATTCAAAGAGTTTTCCAGGGGCTTTTCAAGCGCCCGAGTTTTCAATTCCAGGAGTTTCAAGGATTTTAAGGAACTAGCATGAACTCTGTATCCTTATTTGTAGAGCAAAAAGGGATAATAAAGTGTAAGTTTTTGCTTATATTGTTCATTCTTCCAACATAGTCGCCGGTCTTTTATCTTTTGAACCTCATGGGAAATGGTTGAAAACGATCTCAATTACGATGTATTTCAAACATAAGCAAAACTTGTAGGGATGACGGTGGACACGCAAAATGTGAGAATGTGACCTCTCAGAATAGGGAACAAAAGTCATTCAATAGCCTGCTTCTAAAAAAAAGCAACCTGTAAAGGCCCAATTATAGACGTTATAACTTTTGCCTAAAGTCCTCTCATGTAACCTGTGTAAGTCATCCTTGCAACATGACTACAACTGTCGTAGGGCCATTAAGCAATAGTATTCTTCACGGTTCCTTGTAAAGGCATGACTACCTTTCAACATGGCACAGGTAACCGTGAAGGAGACTATTGTTTTAAATCACTACAACAATCGTAGCCATGTTGTAAGGAAAACTTGCAGGCTACAAGCAATGGTTGTAGGAAGACGTTATGCAGTCTAATTCGGCCTTAAGTAGACCTACTCTCATAATAAAGTACCTCAAATGGAAAGAATCTTACCCGATGACTTGGTGTTGATCTTCCTTGTCGCCTTAGTGATCTCTCCTCACTATGGCTAGTTAAACTATAAGTTGTRCCTAATTCCAGTACAGCTGCCTGCCTTGACTGTTGAGAAAAAATGAAAGCACACTTATTTTTCTGTCAATAACAATATTTCTCACAAAATAAATGGCAACAGTACTAACACCAAAATTTGATTAACAGATACTTTTTCATAGCCTCTTGCAGCCTTTATCAGGCTCATTCCCAGGTCTTTTCCCCCTATCTTAGTAGGGAAGGACCTGGAAATGAGTCTCATAATGGATACAATATAGAAGACTAACTTTTTCCACCCTCTATTGAAAATATTGCAACCCATGTGATTAATTAAAAAACGTTTTTTGGTGATATCATGATTGAGTACATGTGAATGTACTCTATCCAAATTATGAGAGGTCCGACCCTTTTTAATACTAAAACAATACTTCACTCACCTCTCTCGGCGGCCTTCTTTTAACACAGTTACAAGCATACATGACAGTTGATTTAAAACACAAATATATTGCTTTCATACTGACYACAAATGTAATTGCCGTCAAAGCCAAAAATGATCCATAGGATAGATTCCATGCGACAGTTTCTTGTCCATCAATTAATACAGGCATAATACACCAAAATACAATAACTGCTCCACCAACACATAATGATGAAAACATCATAAAACATATTATCTGGAAAATAAGCACAAAATATTGAATTAGATCTTCAGTTTTTTGCCATTACAAAGATTTTCGCTACAAAATTCTACTCCAGGACTTTTCAAGTACTTTTTAAGCACAAAAATAGGATTTTCAAGGACTATTTTTGAAGTTATTTTTTGTTGTTTGCGGACGTTTCAAGTGGCGAGTTTCAAAAGTAGCCACATTTCAATCCAAAGGCTAACAAGCAACATGTCAATTTTATCAGATTCAAGGAGTTTTCCAGGAGTTTTAGAGATTTTCCCCACTTTTAAAGGCTTTCAAGCGCCCTTGAAACACGAGTTTTCAATTTCAGGACTTTTCAAGAGTTTCAAGGAGTAGCACGAACCCTGAATAATACATAGTGTTAGCAGCAGGGTCTAGTTCTTATGTGAGAACATTTAATCCCTTAAGTAGACACCCTTAGGAAACAGAAAAAAAATGTTGGTCGGAAGAGCTGTCTGCCCATTATCAAAAAGTGTGAATAAAGTGTTTGTATGGAAGAAAGAAATAGAAAATGAGGTTTTGACCATGACTACAGCTGTCTGCTGTTCATAGAAGAGCATCCAAAAGTGGTGATTTGACTGTATGACACACCATGAATAAACACAAGCCTCAGGCCTTTTCAACTAACAAATAGGCCTTTTGCATGAAACGGTCACATGATACAAAATCTGCCATGCTGGATTGCAAAATACCCACTGGGATTTTCCAAACAAAGAAAATTCAAGCTTGGCGGACTGCGTTCCTATTGTTTTCCGGTTGTTTAAATTCTTCTGCAACCAGTATGGCAGATTTTGTATCATGTGACCGTTTCGTGCAAAAGGACTATTTGTTAGTTGAAAAGGCCTGAGGCTTGTGTTTTTTCAGTCATAAAACTGCCCTGATCAATTTTCCATAAAATTACATAAAAACTACCCATTTAAGGGCCAAATATTAGTGTCCCTCACCTACAGGAAGTCCAACCAAAGGAGACTAGCCAATTACAATCTGATGTACGATACTAATAATATCAAGCTAATACTCACTAAGCATTTTCTTGGATTCTTGTAAGTTAGAACTCCTATTGCTCCTGTGATAACAAACTACAAGAAAAATCAAAATTGTACAAGGGTGCTATTGCATTTAAAGCATAAACATACTAATTAATGGTCTATCATTCATACTGCGCTGTGATTGGCTACTCTACTAATGGTCTAATTTGTGAAAGACCACTCGCGGGAAAATCAAAATAAATAAATTATAAATTATTTTAAGGATATTTCAATTTGTTTTCATTATTAGTATGTTTAAACTAAAACAATTAGACCTCTCGGCCTCGTGGACTCGGCCTTATGGGCTATTAGCTCATAGTCCACTCAACCATGAGGTCTAATAATTGTTAAATATTTTGCATGTCACATTTATTGACTGTTTTAATAATCAAATTATCAATATAATTATAACTATGAAACCTATATTTCTCCATTTGCTAAAGTTGCTATTTTCACTAGGAAGTGGAAAAAAAACATTTGAGGTAATTCTCTAATATGTAGTGGAAGTATTGAAAAAAGGTCATTCAATCATTCAATTCTCCCCAACAACATTTTTTGAAATAAGTGTTATTTCATTAATAAATATGTACATAATCATACGGTAAATACTTTTGGTGAATTACTGAAACTTTCCTGATTCAGATGGATGAATGCTAACCTCTATGGGAAAGAAAATAATTCTGAAAATCATTTTTTTTTTTGGAATTGGTTGAAGTGTTTTTGGAGCTTGGGGTATAGAAAACTTATTTGAATTTTTGACTTCATAATGTCAAAAACAAATTGACCAAATGTCCACTGGAATTTGCATGAATTTTAAGAATTGCACAAACTTTTAAGACCATAATTTATATGTTAAATGAAAATGAAAGGTATGAAAAAAGAACAACTTACAACAAAAACTGCAGTGATTCACCTTAAGCTATTTGCTGTAGCTTTCTAGACTAAATATGTCATGAAATAAAATCATCTTGTGTGGTCCATGTATTTTTTGTACTCAATAGCTCAATTTCCTAGAAAAACTCTATATAATATTGTCTTATAATATGAAAAAAGAACAACTTACAACAAAAACTGCAGTGATTCACCTTAAGCTATTTGCTGTAGCTTTCTAGACTAAATATGTCATGAAATAAATTGAGAATGTACACTCAAAAAGGCTAAGAATCAATCAAAGGTTGTCACTTGTTGAGATAAGTTAATGCTTTGTTTAAAAACGTCCAACTTCTTGCATGTACATGTACATGTAGATCATAAGCTTCAATAGCAAAGACTTTCTTTGCAACATCATCAAATAAGTATTTACGTGGTAATGAAGCTAGATCAGAGCTGTAGGAATAGACTTTCATCGCAAAATTGTATTATTGAGAAATTTTAGGGATGTACTYTTTTTTATCATATTGAAGTTTGAGCTTCCTTCTGGAGAATTTAAAGTACCTTATAATTATTTGACATGGGTGAGCAATTTCTGAATACCTAAAATGATATATCAATCTCAAGGCTTAGCACGTTAGCTCTTACCACCCAAAGTAAACAAATTAACTTCAAATTTCTGAGGTACCAAGGCAATGTACATAATAGTGGAAATTTTACTAAAAATATTTTGACTTTCCTACCATGACCTTTCGCACAAATACCTTTAAGATATAACAAGTTAAGGTTATCTTGAAAATTATTTTAATCATAACCATAACATATTGTTTCGAATTAAAAATTAATCATTTAATTTGAATACCGTGGACAATCCACAATAAATTCTAGACAAGTTGCTCTGACGTACATGGCATTCGTAAGCAGATAGCAATTAACTTAATCGAAATTGTGCGGATTCGAAAATCTAATATATATTTTGCAATYTAGTGGTAATTGTATTGCGTGAAAATTTACAATGAATAATATCAAATTAGATGGTTTCGTTGTTAAAATTAATTAAAGTAGCACGAGTCGGTAGCGTCGCTTCGTAAACAGCTGTGCAGCCTATCGTTTAAAAACTGACAAATCCCTTCAAGATCATTGTCAAAAATACATATCCCTGAACTTGAAAACGACYGCGTTCTTAAAATATCATTGTTAATTAACCAAGGGAAAGAAAACGAAAATTACAGCTAAAACCAAAGCTAATTTCAATTTCTCGAGGAAAAAATTCGACGAAGACTCGTCGCGTTTAGCATTCACACTTACAAGAATTCCGGCCCAAACTGGAAGCCCTTTGGGTTTAAACTGTGTTATAACTGTGTGGTCATCATTTCTTGTACTAAATGCTCCAACTGCAATGCTAACTAAACCGCTCACGACGTCTACAATCCCTATACGAAGTGCAGCTTTCTCTGAATAAATATCCGCCATGTTTTGACGGAACGGCCTGTCAACTTGTAGTCGAGGCTGAGCAGGCTCAGTGATCTGGTCAGTGGTAGTAGCTAGTAGACATGGATGCTAAATTCTTCCGTTCAGACAAAATGTATGTATTTTATCGAAAATAGCAACTGTAATTTTTGGTTAGCATGKAATTGTCTAAAAAATAGGCAATGATGTTCCTAATAAAAGCATTATGCACTAGTCAATTGAAACCCCCGCCCCCCGAACCCCGGGACTAGCGGGGCACTGAACGGGGCAGTGACGCGTTTTCAACGTGCTTTTACAACAAGATTGGCACCGGGGGGGTAGGGATTTTAACGAATTGTTTTCGCAGCGGGGCAGCGAACGGGGATTTTAACGCTCGTTTGAATATATAAGAGCCTTGAAACTAGTGGTCGGCCATTTTGAAAAATACCCAGAAAGCATTGGTATTCCAACCACATGTGGTATCACATCTCCTGTGTGGGCCTCAAAGGGGCCCCTTCAGGAGTATGGTTATGTCCTAAATACAAATAAAAAAACAAAAACTGTGTTTTGTCTATCTTTTCTTGCATTAAAAATAATAATGATGTCGCTGCAATAATGATGATTTACGAGGGAACTGAGAGAGTTACGCGCGGGGTCACAGTAGCCGGGCTATAGTAGCGGGGCTATAGTAGCGGGGCTATAGTAGCGGGGGTTTTAACAGTAAATGTGCCCCCGACTACCAGGMGAAATGTCTTATTTTAACACCACTCAAACGTTAAAATCCCCGCTATTCCCCGGGGTTCGGGGGGCGGGGGTGTCAATTGACTAGTGCATTATCTATAGCGACGAAGCTGAAAACATATTGACTACCGCTCTTGGGAGCCGGAGTTGGCTGCGTCACAAGTAACCTGCGCCACTTCCGCACAATTTACCGATTTGTCTGGATGTGACGCAGGCTAGGTCTCAAGAAGAAAAAAATAAACAGGTTATGGAGGATTGTTTTTGCGAGAGAATGGTGCTCAATAAATCAATAAAGATGTCTTTSATTTGGTCAAACCCTTCTTTGCGTTTTTTTTTTCGTTCAGTGTAATGTTGTTGCAGTGAAAGCGAAACACCGTGGCAAACGTAATGTCTCAGCGCGAACAATGAGAAATACCAGTATCAGTAAGTCGTCCAGACGCTTTTACTTTGAATCAGTTATAGGTCTTTCTGACATCAAACAGACTAACAAAGAGATGTTGAACCCCTGAAATTACCACGATATGGATGACGTCACACGATGTAAATGAAGTCTTYAATGACGTCACAAATGACATCATATTCTGTTTCAATCAATGGGATTAGACATCGCATAATCAGTTTATATATTTTTCATGCGCTCGCATACGTAACCAACGCCTCTACACTGGTATTTCGTTGAAAGTATTGTACCGTGTCGAAAGATCGAGGAATTGCGACATAAATTCATTGAAGGTTTCCTTTGAAAATAAAAATCTACAACGATGGGTAGTAATTAACTAATATCATGCTATGAAAATACCGTGCTATGGAGATTTAGGGCTAAAATCTTGAGATCGGGAGACTCGATCTGAAATCTGGAGTCTCCCAGCTAGTCCGGGAAAGTTGACATCCCTTCTAACAAAGACCTGAAGATTAAAATGCTGAAAAATTGATCTTTGTACATCTCAGAAACAGTTACATCACGACTTCAATGTTTAAAGGAAATCGTTAGGATTTAGCTTTTTCTTAGACTTTGGAGCGGGGCTTGCAGCAAATCACCCAATGACTGAACGAGTTTACAAAAGCCTCCGCCCCTTATATGGCAAGAAAGAACAAAATTAAACAAACTTCGAAACGAAMAAGTCGCGATGCAACGATTTTCGCTGTAATTTGAGTAAGGCTTCTCAAGAAACATTTTTTTTTGGCGTTTCGTCCTTGCGTTTTTCATTGGGTTTGCGTTTACGCCGTAATGAAAACGTTTTAATAAATATACACAAATACTTATAATAAAAAAAAATTCATTTAATTCTATTACTTCCCGCTAAAGGTATCATTACCCTGGATAACWATTCATTCCGATGATACATCGCTGGAAGATATACTATAATTATGGTCACCCTATGGTAGAAAAGGATTGGGGGCAACTATATTAAGTCCCTCACAACTCAAAAATCTGGTGTACCAAATCTGACAAAATTTTGACCCTGGCATTGGGAGGTTGCGACAACGGAAGCCGACAGAATAAGAGAAATCCAGAATCCAGATACACCCTGAACCTTTTACTTCATATATATACCGTATACGCAATGCATTGTAGAAAATGTTTGGGACAGAAAATATGGGCTCTCTCTTTGTTTTCTCTTGAAACTGACGCACAATGCATTACAAATCGTAAGTAATGAAGTCAGTAAAAGGTTCAGGATCCAAATTAGTGACTTCAAATGTTTCCTAATTGCTAATGAGTCATTATGAGAGAAGGTTAGGATGCTTTGCATTTTAGAGTCCTTGTGACATTTTTCATGGAATCCGGAATCAAGGAGATTGGAATCCGGAATCAAGGAGATTGGAATCCGGAATCTGAACGCTCCGGATTCCGTGTCATAATGTGAAAAACTTGAACTACAGGGAAACAAAAGTCCCACATGGCACGGACACTGGCTTAGATAGTTATGTTAGTTCACTGCAGAAAAATAAGACATTAAGATCTACTTCCTACACCAAATAARAGGCTTTACCCCTACTTATACAGGGCACTTATCAGGATGTTTTTGAATACAAAAACGTTTCTTTGTATCTGGCTTCAAATAGCCGTTCAAACGATCTCAGCGATTCAATGTATTGGATCTATCAATCTATAGATGCTTTGCGAGCTAAACTCGAATGRACTCAGACGCATGTCAAGATACAAGCAACCTTTTTATTAAACACGGCCTCAATAAACATTTAGTTTTTTTCACGGATTGTCGCGTCAATTGTAAAATAAGCACCGATCTTTAGCATTTCATGGATTTACTAACTTAGCAGTTGKGGAACTGTTTATATGTACTTTTCCTAATAATTCATAAATAATGCATGTAAAATTGATTCGCAAGGATCTAATATGAAGGAATCTGTACTATATATTTGTGGATAGCGCTATTCAGACTCACTAAACCGACCTCTATCCGAAATACAAAACTGTCCATACAACAGAAAGTGCTTTCTAAATGTATAGATCCGAGCTCGGRTMCATAAGAATGGTTGTGATRACTCTCACTAAACCGGCTCTTGCCCGTATTAACYAGGTGATCGTACTACAGAGGCTTTGTGTGTCTAGGTTCCACTCTATTTGATGATTATTATCGTATTTAAATTTTCCCCGGTGCCACGGCGATTATATATTTGTACCATGAAAAAGGCAAAAATAACATCCCTGGAACTCGGGTATATTTTGGATTTGTATAATTTTTAGAAAATATCGGGGCAGGAGGAATAATCTCGATCCCAGTACTTCCCYGTGAATAGCCAGTCATGCTGACCCGTATAAGGGTTGATTTCTTCTTTAAACCACCTAAAGAAAAGAAAAAAGACATTGATATTTGTATGAATTAATTAACCACCAGAAATTGCTGGTTTTCCGGTTACGTCACAGCGGCCATCTTGGAGGTCATTCAAAAAAGGATTTCTCAACAACAACAACAACAACAACAACAACGACGACGACGACGACGACGAAAACAACGACAACAACAACGACGACAACAACAACAATGTCACTTTTGGTTCGGAAAAATATGTCACTATTTTAGCAGCTGCGACTCTTGAGAACAATTCGATATTCCGTTTCAATTTGGAAGGTCAATATATTCTTAAAGACCCACTTGCAACCGAGGAACTTTGCGATAGATTTCTTTGTTTTAAAAAGGAAATCTGTTGTTGAAAGTTTTCTGATTGATTGAAAATCCAAGATGGCGATTTTTCGTATACGAGAAAAAAAGGTTTTTTTTTAGATGAACGTGAATGTGGGCTTTTAGTATTACAAACTAGTAATTTCAGTTTGACAGCGGATAGTAATAATAATTAATAATCAATACAGGTTTAATAGTTATTCTTACAATGGTTTCCATTCTGTARTTTTCCTTTGTCTGTCTCGTCGAGTTGCTCGTTGTTTTTCTTCTAAGCGAATTTTTTCTTCCGTTGCCATCTCTGTTAATGAACAAATCAAAATATCTTAAACATTTTGCTTTGATTGGTTTCTTTTTTGTAGTGATTTTTTGTTTTATTGCTTTTCTTTTTCGCATTTTTTCAGTGTTCCTGCTACCGTCTATAATTGGTGCTATTTTACAATACAGCAGAAATCAAGCAAAGWATCGATACCTAAGTCACCATTTTCTAGCGCGCGACAATCGGGTCGTAACCTGGAGTCTGTTGGCGGTAACTAAAAATAAGAGAAAATACATACAATCAGGTACCAATAGAACATACTCCATCTT